CTCCAGGTAGCCCTGGATGCTCTTCAGATGGTTGAGCGTCTGATTGACCTGCTTGGCCCAGGGATCCCGCTGCAGTTCTAGTGCCGTCAGATGGTACAGTATCTCGTTCTGCAGGTTCTCCAGTGGTTGCAGGATCGAGGCCAGTAGGCGCTTCGACCGACTGCCCAGGGTTGTCATGCGTGATGATGTGGCCACGTCCTGAATCTGGAAAGCAAATCAGATGCGGAATGGTCTGTATTCAGCGTGCTGCTGAGTCTCGGCCCTCCCAGGCCGCCACCTCGTGAAATGGAAACTAATCAGACGCTATAATCGCGCTGGTTATGCGGATAGGACTACGGTCCGTACCTGTAGGGCTACCCTCTGCATTTGATCAATGAATGTTGCCAAATCCTTTTCTGGCGTGGGCGCCCCCACACTGCTGCGGTACGTGGTCAAATTGAATGAGGACGTCTGCAGCATATTCTCCAATATACTCTGGACGGATTGGGTCAGCGAGAGCAGCGTGCGCCCTGACACGGAAATTGCATCGATGGCCGTCGACACTTTTGGGAACTGTTTCAAATCAGCGATTTTGGTGGTATTCACGAACGCATCCAATTGAAAGACATTGTACGACGCTTGATTTTGTTCGCAGCCCCTGTTTTGATGGGCGAGAGCGATGTTTGGAGTTGAAGTTCTCAATGAAACGCCAAAGGGATTGCGCATAATAGTATGCACCCGTATCGAGCATGGGTTTTGTGGGACCGGTCCAGCAACCGCAGGCGCTCTATCTCTTAGCTTACATGCACACATTGGGGAGGGGGCAGAGTGGTAGTGGGGGGTCCAGGAATTTATGCCCACTGGGGGAGTGGGGGAGCTCCACTCCACCCGGCCTGCATGCGCATTTTGTATCTGTTCAGATAATTGGAATCGTGCTTAAAATTTGCGGTTACAAGTTCTATATGTGTGTGCCTGTGCGTGGGTGTGTGGATGGGTGGTGCGTGTGTGGGTGCCTGGATTGGCATTGGTATGTTCTCCGTAAAATTGAGTGCCATGTGGCTAGCAAATTTCATTGGGCTTTCAAAACTTTGTGGCTTAGAGGGTCTCCAACTGCCGCTTGCTGCCTGACAGGCCTGGGATCTGGCTGCTCTGCTCTGCTGTGCTGTGCTCTGCTGTGCTCTGGGATGGATGGGATTTGAAGCCGAATAACTTCTGTAGTCTGTAGTCTACTGAGAGTGGTGCGTTGTGGTTTCTGGTCAGTGACAAGTTTTGGTTTGCGTGGTAAGGGGCAACGAAAGTTATAAGTGGCTGGGAAGAGGCTTGCAATAAACACACAGAGAACAGGAAACCGAAAGGGGTAATCACAGTGGGATCGTTTAGGAGCTTTGGCTATCATTTGATTAGCACTTAAGGAGTTTGCAAGTGTTGCCTGAATGTTCATTAATCGAGCAGTGTGTACCCACTCATGGGTACACACTCAGTTCAATTGCTCATCGAACTTTTAATCGATTCCGTCTGTGAAAACTTTTGCACATTTTTGTTGTTTCTTACAGGGCACGGGACCAGGACTCGTTCTCAGGTAACTTTTGGCAGGCGGGCAATCAAAATTACAGGCACGTACAGTATCAAAGTAATTGGATAACAAAATTCGTTACTTCAACACTGGCTTGGTGATTGGTGATTGGTTCTTGGTTCTTGGACAGCTCTACCTGGGAACGGGAACTCTAAGTACACATACGGATTAGTGGGCTCGTGAAGATCAGATCACGGACTCACCTGAGAGCCGTGCCGAGGCTGACATTCACCACGGACCGATTGACGCCGGCCGGTCGCAGCAGCTCCCCAATGATACCCGTTTGGGGCTCGCGGGCATACACATAGCCGGGCTTGTCGAATAGCTTACCCATCATATCGTAGTCCTTGTCGTAGAGCGAGCGGCAGAGGAAGACCTCCGCGTTGCCCCCGACCGCCAGCGAGAAGACACCGTAGAAGGTGAGGGCGATGCTGGCGAGGCAGATGATCATCACGGCCACGAAGAAGACCACGCCTGATTTTGTGTTCGATTCACAGAGGAAGCAGCAGTAGGACATCAGCATGAAGACCACCACCCAGACGATAACCATGGCGGCTATCCAGCCCATGCTCCAGTACATGTCCGCCCACTCCTTAAGCTCATTGTAGGCCGGCTGCATCGAGGGCCAGGTGCCCTCCAGGCGCTTCAGCACCACATTGATGGCCGACGTCAGCTGCTGGGCGTTGGCCGTTGTCCTGTGACGAATGCTCGACAATTGCTCCAGCGTATCTGGGGGAAAGTTTGTGCCGATTCAATTAGCATCCACAGACCAGAACCAGGTGACACTAATTAATATTGTGTGCCCCCGCCACACCCTCTCTCCTATCCGCTTTGTCTCGGAAATTGAATTGTCAGAATCAAATTCAAGGGCTTATTGGATGTACGAGTAGATACAGACTCTTGTACTGTTTTGTGGGATGTGGGATGTGGTATGGATGTAGGTGCGATTGATTGAGTTGTACATTTAAATTGATGCCATAATAGAGTTAGGGACATTGTCCAATGTGGACTTGTGTGACGGTTTCATGGGGAGTTACGGCAAGCCAGGTACAGTCAAGTCAATCAAGTATTTATTATGACTTATCTTTTATCGAAACTTTACTTTATTTTGATTGCTTTACTCACAGTTCCGCTCATATGACGTGTCATGTTTAACTTGTTGCGGGAAATTGCTGAAGATGGAACGTGACACGCCAACTTCCGATGTCAGGTTTTTGACAGTGGCACCAAATTCAATTTCGCCCAAGTAGCGCATACGGAAGATGCTCTGGTCCTCTTGCAGCTGACAAATTGTCAGCGTTTTGCGTTGTGTCCAGGAAATGAGAAATGGCGTGGCGAAATTAGAAGAGAAAAAACAGAACAGAGAGAAACAGAGTAAAAATATAAGGAAAAATGATTTAAACCCCTAAGAAATAGAAAGAGAGCAAGTCAGAGAACTTACAGTTTTCAGGGCATCGACGACGCCGTTCTCCTCGAAGCTGCGTATACGCAATGTGTCGCAGAGCGGCCGGTCCCGGTACGTGCACTGGCGCTGCAGCACGGACAGTTGTATCTGCAGCTCCTCCATGCGTGCGGCAGCCTCCTGGGAGAGCTTCAGGGCTCGGCCGACAGTCTCCTGCAGCATGAGGACGCGATAGATGAGCTCCGCGTTCGCTGACAGCGACAAATGCACGAAAATATTATTATTTCGACTATTATTATAGGATATTTATTCGGCCATGGGCAGGGGAGTCGAGAGTCGGGTGTCGGGTGTCGGGAGCATGGAGCAGGGAGCAGGGATCAAAGGAGACTGATTCTAAATTGCACATTGTGTTCGAAGGCAAACAACTCCATTAGTTGTCATCTGAGCCATTTGTCCTGTCACCCGGCAGCAAAGCTTCTTGCCGCATTCGTGGGTTGTCGCTGGAGGCTCAGGGGGTGGCCGGAAATGGCTCCCAATCCAACCCAATCCAACCAATTGCCTTGCTTGTACAGTTTAAGCGTATATGAATACACATTTATCTCTTGGCAGGGTATTTGAACGGTTTTGAAGGTTGAATGAAATTTAAATCAAAGAATGTCCAAAGCTTAAACGGGTTGACCCGAAACGACAAATGAAAGGTCACCATTTCTACGCCCTCTGCGTGCGAGTACTGTAATTTATTGAGCCTGGTTTATTGTCATGTTGGTGCAACACGACCGCAGCTAGGCCTACGATGACCATGCATTGTCATGCCACAATGGACAATGGAATTTGGGTCAAGTCTACAGTCGGACAATCGCATTGCAATCCGGGCTCTGGGTGGAGTAGGGTAGTGGGAAAGCGGGGTAATGGGGTAACGGGGAAGCGGGGTAGCGGCGTAGCGGGTAGCACTTAACCAGAATACTTACCCAAGCTAAGTGTCGTCAATGAATCATATGCCAGCTCAAGGCCAGTGTGTGCAGATATTTCCGCTTGAATTGGCTCACCGAGGAGAACATCCACGTCTGTGGAAGAGTGCACACGGCATACAGTGTATGGTATAGTATATTGGGGACTTGCATAAGGAAGGCGGAGGAGGCCAAGGAGCTGGTGCGAGTACTTGTACAATCACTGCAATAACTCAGAATGCAGTGCGGGAAAAGTTTTAGCATAATGCATGAATCGAAAGCTAGAAATGTACTCGGGGCGAGGCGACACAAAGTTGGCAAACCGAAACTGGCGGAAACTTTTGTGACGCGCCATCCTCCAGGGCCAACGCCACCAACCACCATCCACCGTCCACCATTCAGCACCCAGCACCCAGCACCCAGCATCCAGCACTGACCTTCCAAGTCTTTGACGACTCTCTCGACGGAAACATGAAAGCCATTATCCAGTTTGTGTTTGATCTGCAGATGCGTGTCCTTTAGGAAGACCTCCACATCGTGCACGGCTGACTTCACCATCTCGGGCGTCATCTCGATGCCAGCCGAGAGGCGGCTGTTGGCATAAAATATGCTAAGGTCGCTCAGCCTGCAAACAGCCATGAAATCATTCGTCCCCTGCCGTCCGTCTCGTGCGCAAACCTTTCACCCGGAACTTACGTGAGCAGCACAAAGACGATCCAGAGTGTCACCAGGCCGGCACTTTTGCGGCACCGCAGACTCTCCTCCAGAGCCTCGTCGCGTATGTGGACGGGGGCTCTACGTATGTGGTCCACCTCTTCCTGCGTGGAGCGGCGGCCGCAGCACCAGGCACAGGTGGCAATCAGCGGGACCAGGGCCAGGATAGCAAAGATGCTCATCAGGCCAATGAAACCGGATTCGATTTTGATGGCCTGAACGAAGAAGAGACGGTTAAACTTGGCCAGTGGCCACAGACACAGACACAGATCCATCCACAGACTTACATTGGAGGCAAAATCGAGCAGGCTGACATTTTTGTGTAGGACATCGCGTATGGAATCTGGAAATCGATTCAAAGAAATCTTTACTCAAATGCTCCAAAAAAAGTCTCATATTAAGTGGTTTTATTGATTTTCAGTCCAAGTTTACATCAGAAATTCGGCGGAGGACTGCTCGGGCTGCTCCTCTTCCAAGTGCTGGATGACGACCACATTGCAGAGATTGGCCTCGGCCAGGCTGCGGGCATCCGTCTCATCCAGCTGCACTCGAGGAAAGCTCGTGATCAGTACGAATCTCCGGCTGGAGTACTGGGGCCGTGCCAGGCGGACATAGCGGTAGACGTCGCCCACGTTGTGGGTGCGATTGAAGCGGGCTGAGATGCGGCTGCCATCGGAGAGACGCAGCTGGACCGTCGTCATGGCCGACTTCTCGTTGAGGCTCAGTTTGCCCTCGGCATGCTGCTCCTGGCGAGCCAAGGACTGTGATGGCGAGGAGTTCGCCAAGCGAGTCAAGGGATCGCCCAGAGTTCGTCCTGGACCCAGAAACTGACCAAGACGCCTGAAGGGCTCGTTGCTGTGGTCCTGGACACTCACCTCCAGCCGTTGGCCAAGGCCCAGCATCTTCTCCTCCCTCTGCAGAACGGACTGCAGAAATTGTGCGTTCTCCGGAACATCGTAAAGTCTGAGCGAGCCGTCGTCCAAGGAAAAGCCCTCCGACCAGAGATGCAGCACCACAATGGTGTGCTCGCTGTCATTGGGATCCGTGTCCGAGTCCTGATTCGCGCTCCCAGGCGCCGGCGGATTGATCGGATGAGCGCTGCCCAGACGGCGGCCTTGCCCCCACACTCGCACACTGTGGAGGCTGTCCACGTAGGTCAGGGCCGGAGTGGAACCCTCTATGCTGACGCGCTTCTCGCCTGGGGCTATAGTGTTGTTGGAGCTTTCGGCAAAGTGCTTCTCCGGATCATCGTCCTGCCGGTCTGTGTGCAGGCTGATCCTCGACTGCGGCTCTCTGTTGCTGGACGAGTCAGTGGGACTGCTGCTGGCAGCGGCCGTGTCCGACTCGTAGGCACCGCTGGCTTGATCCAATGCCCAGTCGTTGGCGACTAGATAGCGACGGGCCACATCCTCCTGCACGTCATGCTTTCTCATAAAACTTTGCAGCTTCTGCTCATCGGACATTTGGCAATTTTGACAGAGATCCCAAAAAACATATTGTTCTGTGGGAATGATCGCTGAATCCAGGCCGCCTATGTTCCGACACATTTGTAGTCCTTAAACCTTACTCGGATCTTTGTTGAAAGCCGCCTGGTCATGGATACGCGTATGATACGAGTATACTATAATTTAATCGAATGCCTCTGGCCAAGGCCAACTCATGCACCATCCTTAGCATCCTTAAAATTTCGAAACTGAGGTGAAGGATGTCCCCCAACGGCACTCTTACGCCCTCTTAAACCACGCACACACAAATGCACTCAGAGAAAGATATTTGTATATCTGTTAAATTGGGAAACTTGAGAGAGGTTGGGATAAGCAATCCCCGGGCGGTTTTCACAACTTAACAATGGGTTTCTCTCAGTGCAACACACACTTCCGCTGCAACCATGGTGGGGTGGGAGGGGTGTTTGGACTTACCGAGCGGCAATTCCTCGGGCGTGATAAGCGATAAAAATTCACTAACGTAGGTGAATATAAATGGTCCTGGCGCTATGTCCATGCCCGGTATGCTGTATGTAAAAAATGTGGCTGGCGTTGTTGTCGGCGTCGAGGCTGTTGCTAATGCTATGGTTGTTCCGGTTTGCGCTGCAATGCTCGCCAGCGCCGCTGTGGTAGGTCCTCCTGCTGCTGATGCTGCTCCCACAAGAGCTCCCACTGCTGCTCCTGCGGCTGCTGATGATGACGAGGACATAATTGTTGTTGCGGCTGGCGGTGGCAGTGTTAGATTACGCAGGTCCATCTTCGGCTGGGCGAAAGTCGCCGCCCTTTTGTGGCCAGGCACAGGCACAGGGACAGGGACAGGCCAAGGCACGAGACCCCTCCAGGCGCTGTGCTGTGAATGAATAAATGGGGGAACCAGGCATCTGACCATGAATATCACTCACACACGTACTCGCATGGGATGTGAGAGGGGGAGAGCGGAGCACAGAGCAGGAACAGCAGAGGATGTTGTAAAATATTTTTGGAATTTTATGTTCCAATTATGCATTCATATTGTACTATATGTATGTCTGTGTGGTGCTGGTAGTGGTGGTATGTGGCAGGCAGCAACTTACAAAGAATATGTGACATATACCAAATTAATGAGTATTGCAGCAGCCTGTGGAATTTTCCCCATTATTTTTCCCCCAAATGAATTTAGTTGGGACTATAAATTGTCTGGTCCAAAGAGAGAGGATTCTTTAAGGTTGTAGTATATTGCGTATACGAAGCGTGGGCTTAGGCTGTGTTCCATTTAATTTTTGTCTCTGGACTTGCTTGCCCCTGAATGCCGCCTTGAATTCAATTTTTCACTTGTTAATTCTATTAATTTAATGTTTCTTTTGCTGTCTTTGCTCTTTCCCATGCTGTCAACATGCTGGGGCAAAAACAAAATAAAATCAAATAAAATAAAAACCCAAAATGAAACTAGAAAAGTTTCGATAGAAAACATACTATCAATGGGTAATGACTTTCAAAGACGCTCTCTCACTCTCTCTCTTTCTCTTTCTTTGTTGCGTCTCTTTCTCTGTCTCTCTGTTTTTCTGTTTCTCTGTCTGCAGGCAGACATCTCTCTTGGGGGCCGAAGAAGAAGTGCAGCTACCCAAGAAGCCCCGCAAGTTCTGCTGGAGAACTCAACTCATTTGTTTTCCTTGACAATACAGCGTACAGCGTACCGTTTGCCGCCTTTATCGGCCATTCATGCTGGCCATTGGCCACTGGCCACTGGCCACTGGCCACTGCTGCTAATTGCTCTGCCCTGGGATTTACACTGTCCGGCGGAATTAGAACAAACCAATGGCGCTGCCCAGCAAAAGTTAAACAGTCTTGAGCCCGAAAGTGGGTCATTAAAACTCGATACCCCGCATGGTTTGTGTGTGGGCGGGGATCAGTCTGTGTCTCTGCCACTGCCTCTACCCCAGTCTCCCCCCATGTGCGATTATGTTGGCCCAATGGACACGAGTCAAGGCGCTCGAATTTGCTGGCCAAGCTCTTTTGAAGGCAACTCGATACGCAATGTGCTGAAAGGCAATGCGGGGACTTGTTCTCGCCCATTATCTGGCCATTGTTGTGGCATGTTCTGCCATGGCTGGCTTGTTAGAAAGATATTAGTTAAAGCCGTTTTATGATAACACTCTAAGTATTATAATGCGAGGTGGCAGAGTTCAATGCATTGGGTCACATACACGCCACGTACACGTCCACCCTGCGGCTCAGAGTGGAGTTATTGGAGGGGCTTTGTTGTGGCAGCAACAGAGAGCCGGTGGAAAAGAGCTCCTCTTCTGCACTTTGGTGCAAAGCGATTGAAGTACAGTGGTTTTCATAGCTCTCTGGGATGGTTAAGGAACTGTGCAAAGTCGAGTAATGGATTCGATGGAGCTGAAGCAACGAAAAGTGAGACAGCGTTCACTGTACTATCCCAACCACATAGTAGGAGGGCATAATGAAGTCAGCAATTTTCATCACCATTCACTCAGACCTAGTGCTCCAGTTTTAGCTAGTGCTTCGAATTCGATTAATTAACAAATTGCACGGTAAATGAACTTACGCACCTCGTTTGGCTCGTCCTAATTGATGGATTTCGAATCGAAGTGTCGTCCCTCTTGCTATCTCTGTTACACTCACACTCACTCACACAGACACTGCGTCGCACTCTTTCTGCGGCTCTACCAGCTTCGTGGCGGCATTACGAAGTCATGTTTTTAATTGAAAGTTGGTTTGACTTCGATTTGATATGCAATTAATTTGATATGTGGCTCAGGGGATTGTTTATTTGTACATTCCGTCACGGAAACCCTAAATGATGTGGAAATCGATTAGTTGCTGAACAAACACTCGTCTTGTATGCAATTGATTTCATGCGGGAAATGCATTAACTTTTCTGTTTAGTTTTCATTCACACACGCAACCAATGCGACAATTGGCACTCGATTATTTGTTTATTTTGGCAAAATAAGTTATGCGCCGTGCCGATTCGGAGGTGAGGGTCCTGACCCAACGATTCTCCTCTTGACGGATGTAACCAATTGACCACAAAGCGTGACAAGCGCCGCCGGACGACTGAACGGTGAAAGGTGTTGGGCCCCAATAATCGGCAAAAGAAAACTTAGAAATTTTTCTCTGTTTTACTTTTTGCGGCGACCGAGCAACCGAGCAACCGGCCATGTGTGGTGAATTTCTCCATCCAAAGAGAGCTTAACCTATGCTCGATATATCATATATGTCTGTAGGGATCTTTAGTGAGCTCCCTAAATGTGAGTAATTTAATCGAGTAGACAGATCTTCTTAGCCTACTCTGGATTGCCCATAATGCCCGGTATACCTTTTACTCCACGATTAACGCAAGTCTTTTCACAGGCAATTAAAGATTCTCCCCATTCTTAAGTCTACCATTCTTCCGTCGCTTTTTTGAGGAACGAACGTTTCTGAAATGGCATTAATAGTTGGGCGGGCACAACCTCGGCACTGCCGAATATAGCGGCGCATAAGTACCAGCGACCAATTTCGCAGGTTTTGTTTATGTTCGCGGCAGGCGCCTTGAGCTTTGCATTAAGTAGACTTTGTTTTAAAGTTGAATGAGGAACTGCCAGCCCAAGCCCCAGCCCAAGCCCCAGCCCAAGCCCAAGCCCAAGCAGAAGCCAGGCAAACTTTTCGCCAGCGTCGAAGCAACGTGGAGCAAAGCAGATCTTAGCTGTGCTCTCACGTTGCTGCCCCCAAGGCATCCTCCTCAACATATTGTCAGAGCTGACAGCGGGGTAGGAATGGGAATGGGGAATGGGGAATGGGGGCTGCAACGACAACGTCAACAGAGACGCGCCGCAGTGGATGCAATGCCTCTGTGGCAGCCCGGCAGCCTGTTCTGGCTGAAATTCAATTTGCTTTTGATTTATGCATTTTCCCTGAACCGAATTGCTCGGCAGCCCGAAGACGCTTTCAGAATTTAACTCTGGAATTTTATCAAATGTAAATGATGACATCCCCAGTGCTGCTGACTCGGTATAGGGGCTCCTTTAACTCCAGCACCTGGGATTGTGGCTGAACTGGACAGAATTCCCTTCTGGCCAAGTTCTTTCTGCTCATTTGGCGCCCGTTTCGAAGCGTTTTCATGGTAAAAGAGAGTGGGGATAGAAGGAAACTCCGAGAGAGAGATGGAGAGATTAATGCTCCCGAATACCTTATACTTATGAGAACGTACCTTCCGTGCAGATCAAGATTTAGATTCTATTCAATGAATTATGAAGCTGAACAATTGGGAGAGTAGCAACAGGAAAAGCGTGTTAGTTGGAGAGAAGGGATCGGTTGCTTGCGCAGTCAGAGCGAGAACCGTCTTTTGGATCCACTTTTCGTGATGCATATAATTTGTGAACTTCATGGCTTTGCCGCCCTCGCAGAGGTGGGAGCCGCCAATGATTCCGGCCAGCCAGTCCTCGCATATCAGGGGTCCGCCCATGTCGCCAGGACAGAACTCGCCGTCGGCATCGGGCTCAGCGCACAGATGCCCGGCTCTGTTGTACGACGGGATCTTTCCCTCGCAGAAACTGTGGTTGCGAATCAGGACATCCAGCGCGAGAATTTGATTCGAGTAGGGGCCGTGCTGGAACAAAAATTGGTCCCAGAACTAGAGCTGTGGCTGTGGCTGTGGCTGTGGCTCTGGCTATGGCTGCGTACGTACCGGATACACCTGGCCCCAGCCCATGGTGATGCAGCGCTTGCCCGCGGTGGCGAAGCCGGAGCTGTCACGAGTCACCAGTGGTCGCACGTGGCGCATGTTGCTGGGGATGCGTTGACTGAGCTGCAGCACGGCCAGATCGTTCTCCTTGTAGCGCTTGTACTCGGGATGCAACACCAGACGGTCCACGCGTCGGCACTCGGCGACGTCGTAGAAGGCCAGCCGCAGTCTACTTCCGAACACAATCAGCAGGGCCCTCGGGTTCATGGGGGCCTTGAACCAGCTGTGTGTGACAGGAGCAGGAGCAGGAGCAGGTGCTACCTGGGATTCTCCGTGGGGACTTAAACTTTCACTTACTCAGTGACGCAGTGGGCGGCTGTCAACACTGCCCGACTGCTGAGCAGGATGCCGCTGCAGAAGTGGTTGTCGCCCCTGAACTCGATGTAGTTGAGGGTTCGTATGGAGACGATGTGCCTCACCAGAAACGAACTGTCCGGTAGATGGCCGCCGGCGATTAGCATCTCGAAGGACCTGTCATGCAGATCGGCCACGACCCCTCGTCTAGCTTCAGCCACGGAGCTCCACAAGGAGACTCGCAAAATAAAAGCTACAATTAGCATATCTCGAAACAAACAAATACAATACATTGATTCATATGTCGTATTTACAATTTCACCTCAAAGTGAACTCTTCTGACTCGAAAACTGATAAATCAGAATCAGTCAAGGGCCTCCGGAATGGCCAGAGAGGAATGATTTCTAGCAGCTGGCACTAGGTGTGAGTGGCAGTGGTGGAGGAGCAGCAGCCCACTTGAATTATATTCAAATTGCAGAGGATGCAAATTTAATGAAACACCATAAGCAGCCGCAGCCCCAGCCGCAGCCACAGCAGAGGCACAGCCAAAGCCAGTATCCGAAACCATAAACCGGAAAACCGAACAACATGGGACAGGAACAATAACCGAAATTAAGGCCGCACTAATGAGCAGAGACAAAACCTAAAAGAGTAGCGAAAATGTGGCAACGGGTAGGGGACACGATGAAACGGTGCATGACCGCCGTGGCCACTGTATGTTGCATGTTGCGTGTTGCCTGCATGCCAGATGCCAACGACAGTGTGTAAAGTGATTTTGGCCAAAGTTAAAGTGGTTTTCCAGCTTGCTGGCGGGCTGGCGGGCTGTCGGGTTGGCGGGCGGGGAGGAGCGTAGTTGCAGCCGCAGCTGCAGCCCATCCGGTTTGGGCAAAATGTGCCGGAAAGTCACGTTTCTGGCCAGTGAGAGCCTGTATTGGGTAAAACTAGTACATTGTCTGGATGCAAATGATGTGATATTTTCGCAAAATGCAGCCTCCTCCTGCTTCGGCGGGCTCCTCTTCGTTGGGGGGTCTGCGAAATACGGAGCTCCCTCGCGCAGCTCGTCGCTATTGACTACCTTGCAGGGATCTACGTCGAGCTCCTTCAGTATGATCGCCGATGTCTGCTGGGCCCGCGTCATGGTGGAGACCACCACCTGGTCCCAGGTGATGTTGAACTCCCGCAGACGCTTTCCCGTCCACTTCGCCTGCTCGCGCCCCAGGTCGGTGAGATGGTCGGGGCTGGTCGGCGCCTTTTCGTATTGTCCGTGCCTCACCAGGATGATGTGTCGCGAGTACTTCGATTTCTGGCCCTGGCTCCCTTGGGCTGCGTGCGGGTGGTCTTGATCCCAGTCCGTGACCCAGGATGGCTGAATCGTGTCGCCAATCCCAGTCCCATCTCCCTCGCAGGTGGACCGATGGTGGCTGATTAGCCAAGCGCTCGTGGAGGTGACCAGTGAACGGAAACGGAGAGTGTGCATGCCTAAGGGTCTAAAATTTTGTCTAGCTCTAACTGTCAACACAAATGTAAGTCCTATAGATAGCTCAGTGCTTATATATATAGACAGATATCTTAGAAGTTCAGATTCTCAGATGCAACGCAGACAATTATCGGCCAACAAGTGGGGTTCTTCAGGGGCTTTTGTCGCACTCTTTGCGAGCTATTTTAAAAGTTTATGCAGATCCTTTTATCCGCCAGCTCCCACTGCCGCTCCTGCTCAAGTCTTGATTAGCATTTGTTAGAGAAGTGGACTCTTGAAAGGTTTTGGTTTTGCCAAGTTTTGTGTCAAAGTTATTTCACCCTTGGCAGTATACTCTGCAGCAACTTTCGAGCCATGAAGGCAAACTTTTCGACCTCCACAATCAGCCGGAAAAGAGGCGCATAAGTCAGCCAGTCAGGTGATGTCTTTGGAAAGAGAAGTGCGAAGTACTCGACTGGGTAGCCGGAGCTACGAGCTAAGAGCTAAGAGCTAAGAGCGCCTGGTCGAGTACCCTTTTCCGCTGCACATCCCATGGATACGGTAACAAGAAAAAGGCAGCAGAGCCTATCGTAAACGGTCTCACTGGCTAAATAACTTTTGCCAAGTTTCTGCTTCATTTAATTTCAGAGTCCAGGGACACACCATCATCATGGTCATCATGATGAATGTCAGGGATTCCACAAGTGGCTGGCCGTGGAGGGACGCCATTCTTTTGGCCGTCAGATTTGCCCTAATGAAGTTGACTGAAACTTTTGACAGAGCTGGGACCGGACCTCATCGATTGGTGACCGCATAAAATTGAAATTAAACAAGTTACCTGGACAGTTTAAGCCGGTGCTCAGGGCCAGGCGAGGACATGTAATGACAGCCATCCCCGTTGTAACTCTTTGGCGTTCCAATCCTTGGGCTTTTACAAGTTCTTTACCGTGTCGCCTTCACTCCCACTCCCACTCATAGGTACAGGTACAGACAGACACATGCATCCCACCGTGTGGCCTTGTGGCAACTTTTCTTCGGGCCGTTAAAGTAAGCCACTTGAGGTTACCATAAAACAGATCTCGCATTGTGCGCTCGTTCTGTTCTGCTTCTGTCCTAGAAATGTGCGGCTTACTGGAGCAAGGTGTAGCCATAAATGTGTATGTGTGAATGGCAGTGGCAGCCTATGCGGCACTGCCGGTGTGGCAGGTGTGGCAGGTTTGGCAGTGTGTGCACGAGTCTCTGAATAGCAGGCAAGTCAATTTAAAGTTTTATTCATGTCCTGAGAGCTTCTTTGAGCAATGAGATATATGTCTACGGGGCAGGTTTAATTCCGAATTTAATTTTCAGACTCAAAGTTGTGGAAAAAGTGTGAATTGATTTCCCAGCGAGGATGTCAGGCTCCTCCCAAAGCCACTTTGACTTTGCGTCAAACTATTTTGAGGATTCCATCAGAGAGCTCCGAATGTAAATGCTAACAGAATGATGGAGCCTTCCTTTGAGCTTAGTATTCATTTACATTATTCACACTTAATTACTCTTTTGACCATATCCGGATGTTTTAGCTTTCTAATTAACAAAAATATTTCATTTCGGCCTCCTCCGGCCTGCCCTTCCCATTGGGCCTGTTCGGTCCGAACCAATCTCAATCTCTGTCCAGTCCCTGGAATCCATGTAGTTTATGTTTTCAATTTCACCAACATTAAACTGAAACGAGAAAAGCTATTAACTTAATAATCCTGTGCCGTCTACCATCTGCCATCCATCTGAGAACTGGGACACTGATGGAATGGGAGTGGAAATGGAAATGGAAGGGGCCGTTGACACCATTTCCTTTTTGAATTTGCTAACAAATTTACACGAATTTGATTATTATTATGATGGCAATTTGCAAAAATGTCATCCCTCAAGCAAGAGCAAACGAAACAAGCGGAAATTTCTCATTGCACAAAGTGGAGCACCCAAAGGGGCGTCCACCATGCAGGCTGACCAGGGACCAGAGCCGGAAAGGGGCAGAGCCCCACCTACATCCACAGTCCTTGGGCGTAGTCCTTGGCATCAATTGTCCTCCTGTGCAACGTGGAGAGAAGTGGAGTAGAGTGGCATCTCCTTATCTCGGTCGCCCATAATTATGGTGTACATCTTGGCTGGACGCCCTGCCCCGCTCGTCGCATCCTGCTGCAGGATGTTCAATTTTCGCTTGCCTTTTGCGGCGCTTTGTCGTTTTGATTTCCTTATTTGGATGGGTGCGTGCTCTTTCCCCGCCGTCAGTTTGCATGGCTTTAAGTGGCCCCTAGGCCCCCTGCCGCTTCCACAGCCACAGCCATGGCGCTGTCTTGGAGCCCATTACTCGACTGTCGGCTGTGCCTGGGCTAGCAAATTATCTTGTGGCAAAATCAAAAGTTTTCCGCTTTCGGTGGATGCTGGGGAAATGGTGTCAAGGACACAAAACGCTCGCGGTCCCCCACACCCCCCTACCCACTGCAGAGGCGGCAGATCCAAGAAATTATTGCGGAAACGGATAGCAGTGCCCGCAAACATTGTTTAACTTTCATTGCTGCCCCGTTTCCCAGCTCCAGCTCCTGCTGCTGCTCCTTAAATAAAGCACACACAAAACAACAAAAAAAACAAAAAAAAAACGAAAAGCAAATTTCCAATGAAAGCCAAGTTTTCAGCTCTTGTTTGACCTTGTGCACTGTGTGTGTGTCTGTGTGTGTGTGTGTGTGTGTGCTGTTATGCTGTAAGGGAGAGCACCCTTGAGCTCTTGAAGTTAGCTTGAGGGCAAATATTGAATTGGCAATGTTAAAAATTCGTCTGAATAAAGCAAATATAAATATACTCAACTATTTGTGAATTTACAATGTGGCTGCGGAATAACCGATTGGGATTTTCCATGATTAAGGAATGATTTCAGCTACTTATTTGGGTTTTCTTACTGAACCCTTTGGCAATGACAACCCCTACTATTTATGCTTCTGGCATACCAGATTGCATCCTTATGAACATTCCATGTTTATGGCTCAAATTATGCTTCCAAGTAAGCCACAAAGCAAATATGATTGTGCTTTTACACACCTTTAAGTATTCCAAATTCCTTATGCATCTTTCAGTGTGTGCCGTGCTGTAAATCTCTTGTTATACTGCAGAGGCGACACAATTTGAAATGGAAGCTGCTTGTAGTTGCAGAAAAAATGCGACACCCAGACACCGGAAACAGCAGAGATGAGAGGAGATGTGTGGGAGGAGTGGACCAGGAGAGCTTACGTACGACTTGCGCCACACCCACACATGCCACTTTTAATAGCTCGTACGCCCCGTTGGTCCTTTGTTGACTGCCCTCGTTTGTTTACGGTTTAGTGGATTAATTCTGGAGAGAGTACGGAATAAAACACAACAGCATCCGAGGAAAATAAAGAAAAATAAAACCGACTTGGGAAGTAACAACAACAGCAGCTGCAGCAGCAGCAGCCAGTGTTGGGGCAATTTGTTGCCTTCTTTGAAGTCAAACAAATCTGCATAAGGTAAAGCCGAAAGCCGGAACAATTTATGGCCAAAGAACAGCTCCCCCAACAGGCCCAAGTCGAGAGGGGTTCCTCATAAATTATTTATTTCCGCCTTCCCGTCTGCTCTTTTCGCTTAAGCCCAGTGCATTTGCCAAGAGCAACTTGGCTGTTGGTTATTTTTAATATGATTGTTTTCCTAGCTTTCTAATGGAAATGCAATTACATTGCACTTTAAAACTAATTGCATTTCGACCAGTTTTTGTGGTGTCTTTGATTTGCACAAAAGTTTCAATTAAAGTGCATTCTAGAGCAGCTCCTTGCCGCAGCCACACCCGCACCCACACCCACACTCCAACCATATTTTGATTACTCCTAAAACTTGCTAATTTTATGATTTTTGGTCTCTCGACAAACTTTTGTGTAATTACATTTTGTAGGCTCTTGTCGTCGTCCCCCACTCAAGAGGCAACGCCGGAAAGAACTCGAAAATTTTATCATGAAAATTTGCCAATGAAAGCGGGAGAAAATGCATTATATAATACTGTAGAGTCTGGGACTAAGCGTGGCCATAAAATATATACATAAAAGAGCATTTCCACAGATTGTCCTGAAGATCAAAGGCTTTATGCATCAGCTGGCGTTCAGGGACGGAGATTTTCTCTCGTTTTACAACAATTGCCCCGCAAAATGCAATAAATATTCATATTTAACAATAATAATTCATCTATACTGCCGTCTAAATCAAGCTAACAAAAGGGAATAGTCGGCAAAAAGTACAAAACGCACACGTTTATGGTCTGGCAATTGAACAACTCGTTGGGGTTGCAGTGGCGGCCTGCAGCCTGCACCCTACAGATGGACATGGACATCGAATGTGGACCACTGCACGCCGTTCATTGGACTTTATGGGTGAATGGGTATTCGAGTGGTTGGTCTTTGGGCCCGTTTTACTCTACAAACTGTATACGCAAGCCATATGATGTCTACGGATAAAACACTGTTATCAGGCCAAAAATTAAAGATCAAATACCGAAATTTGTTCAATATTCCATTGCTAACCTTTTCGTTTTCCTCTATTAATTCCAAAATCTTCCGTTCATTAAACATTTTGTTAGACGACCCTTAAGGGTTTGTGAAAACTATGTAAGCCAAATACACTCACACATGTACATATTTGCCTTCCAACTTTTACAGGGCAAGTTTCGAAGTATTTGTGTAAGCTGCAAGTACTAGTGGATTCTAAGTGCAGTCCATAGTGTGCATTCGTGTGGGCTTGAGTGTTTTATTACGAGTATCGATTGAAACACGTCGATTGTAGATCTTATGCATGAGTGCGCTGCCAACGACTTGAATGTTTGGATTTAGTGGGTTACATATTCAGTCCTGTCAGCTGGGTTCGAATATTCAGGGTATTATTAATTTCAAACGAAAACATCTAAATGGTAGTCCACACTCCAACATTGTCGATTCTATTCTTAAGGTGAAATCAAATTAAGGGGGCGCCTAAGCTTATCTAAAAGA